ATACTAGCTGTAACCCGCGGGCTTTGCCCCGTTTAACTTCTTAATTTTAAAGATTATCTCGTTCGCATGGCTCAATCACGTCCTGGTTGAAGTTTGTTCGCTACGCTCACTCACCTTTAGGTTGGAGCTCGTTCGCTACGCTCACTCACCTTTAGGTTGGAGCTCGTTCGCTACGCTCACTCACCTTTAGGTTGGAGCTCGTTCGCTGCGCTCACTTGCCTTCAGGTTAGCTCGTTCGCTACACTAACTCGCCTCCAGGTTGAAGTTCGTTCGCTACGCTCACTCACCTTTTGATTAGCTGTTGTCGTAAATGTAAAAGAAATAATAGTGCTGCACCCTGTTGGTAATCCTTGTAACTTTAATGCTATTGAACATCATAGAACAGAACCAACTTGTTTAATTGAAACAGCTGTTAAGATTCAATAATTCCATTTCTCATAAGGTTAACATGGGAAACTCCAGAGCCACTGGGGCGGAGCCCGAAAGGATTTTTGAAAAAAGAATATGCCTATATGTTAATCGGGAATGTGAGCTATCATCATGCCAAATTTCAGCCCGATCTGACCAGTATTTTTCGAGTTTACTTTTCCCATACACACATACAGCAACCACCTCTTTTTTATAATAGTATATATATATATATATATATACAAACTTCCTCTTTTATAAATATAGATATATATATACACAAACTTCCTCTTTTATAAATATTATATTTTTCCTTAAAATAAATTTGAATATTTATACATTCATAGCCGAAGCGGAGGCGTTGTTTATCACTTGGCATGTTTTATGACCATCGTAACACCTGTACTGTGTAATACTAGGTTATTGCACCTGAACTGGTTGTAATGTAGGTATGGTGAGCAAAAGACCATCAATATTGACGGCTAGGAGCTTATTGCCCGTGCTTCTGCTCGACTGAGCACAAAATCTGCTAAATCCCCAGCTTGGACGCTGCTCTTATGAATGCTCTTCATAACTCAACTCGGTACATGTTAGTGTTTTAAATGAACAGAAAAGAAAAGTATGAGTAACATCTGTTGGGATAGTTTTTAGTTATTTTTTTCATATTTTTGGAAATAACTTCAAGTTTTGTGCTTACGTGAACCGGTTCTTTTTCAAAAGTAATTTAGAGCTAAATTAAATTGTCGATATTTTTTCGAGCAAAATGGGTTTACAGTTAAATACAGTGAGGATACATTTTTTAAAGTACATCTAAGGTTTTTTTATTTTCCTCAGTCATCATGCTAATAGTGCTGGAGCCAAGAAGGTCTTCAGGTGGCAGAAAAAAGCACTAAGAATAATGTTTGATATTCCTCGCAGAACGACCAGCAAACCTCTCTTTATCAAACACAGAATAATGACTCTGCCATGTATATTCATTTTTCAAAATTTGCTATATGTTAAAGAAAATCTTTCATCATTCCCAAAACGTAACGAATTTCACAGTTATAATACTAGAGCATGTAACCAGCTAGATATTCCGACAGTAAGATTATCAAAATCAACCAATAGCCACAAATTCCTCCAAATACAGCTCTTTAATAAGCTACCAGTATTGTTTCAAGAGCTTGATTTTGATAAATTTAAAGACAGATTGGCTGATTGGCTTCTTGACAGAAGCTTTCATTCACTGGAAGATTTTTTTTGGATGCCAAATGTCTAATATATAGTTTCAGTTTTTTAAAATCCTGTTTTAACTTATTTTCTATCACTACAATATACCTAATTCATAGAAAAATTGTATATATTTTGACGTTGTCTATTGTACTTTTGTATTTAACGACAATAAAGATATTCTTATTCTTATTCTTATTCTTATTCTTATGCTTTTTATTAGAATTTCAATAAATTAATCTCGTAATTTGAATACAAAAGAGTATTATCTAAATATTAACATTGGTATTTGAAAACCAGTTGTATGAGGCTTACTACTTTATAAACAAGAAAATGGAGAATGTGTTCATTTTTTTAAATGTGGAATATTTTTTTTAATACAGAATTAATTGGAAAAGGGTTTTTTACTCGTTTTTTTTAAACCAATCTTCTGGCTCATTGATTTCAGCTGAACGTAATATATATAAAACCACTAAAATCACAATTTAAAATGGCGGCTTTTTCCAACATTGGACAAATTAAAAAAACATATTTCACATGCATTTGTTATGCACATTTTTCGAGATATTGACTTGGGACCACCGCCTGTATTTATTGGGTGGTTAGTACTTCATTTTGATAGGGAACATGTTTTTGGCCGCCATCTTGGATCCGCCATATTGGACATAGATAATTTTTTTTCAATGTAATGCTAGTGTTGTGAAACATCATTACCAACTACATTTTTACACTGATTTCAATGCCGAAATCCGTTTTTAAATATCTTTATTCATTTAGAAGATATATTCAAACGAAAACTCTCCGCCATACATTTCTTATGGACGTTTCGTAGTTTGATAATTGTTTTAAAATTATTTTTCTTATATCTCCAGTTATTATTGACGCTTGTAGTTCGTTCTAGGCTTAAAATATTCAGTAATGTAAGGGCTTTCATTTGAGCTCTTGATCATTAAAATCAGACGAGTTAAAGACCAGCTACGAACCTCAGAACACTATTAAATTTAACTTTTTATAAATATATTTTTATTAAAAGATTCATAACTCGGGTTGTTAATACGTCAACACGTTCTTTCTGGTCTCAAATTACTCAGTAAATGTTTGGTTTTGATTTTAGCGAATTTCCCTATAGGGAAGTAGCTATTACCGTAGGTGGCACGGAAAGACCTAGACCCGGGACCGATTTACTTTTTCATTTTGATGTCCCCAGAGGCCAAAAACACCTTTTGTTCAAATTTTTATATATGTATATATATATATAGACTTATATATATATAGGACGTATATATATATATATATATATATATATATATATAAATATATATACGTCCGTGAACGCGATAACTTGAGTAATTTTTGTCCGATTTTGATGAAATTTGGTTTAAAGGTGTAAAGCGGGATAAACTTGAATGAGTTCGCGAACCAGCACGATCGGACAATGAGAACGGGGCTTTACGGGGGTTTTATGGGGTAAAAATTGGTTTTTCTCACTTTTGACCCTCAAAACACAAAATTTCCCGATTTCTCTTTAAACCTTATTAAAGAGCTTAAAAAAAAAAATAATTTAGTATATAAAAGTATTTTTGTTCGATTATTGGTAACGGAGAAAATTAAAGAAATTGTAAATTTAAAATTCCCATGTTATTCTTATGGAGAATATTGTCAAATGTTGTAGTTTGCTTGTTTATGGATATATTTTGATCAAACTTGGCAAATTTATTTATTTTGTACTAAGCTATCAATGTTTTACTCAAAAACACACTTTATTAGTTTCCTTGTAGCAGCAAACCTAGGTACTCGTTAAACCTAATGTTATTAAAATATATTTAACTGAAAATCAATTCAGACAAATGGAAATTCGCTTAGTCGGCAGGTTTGCTGCGGCGGGGGTATTATTAATCACTAAACAAAATCTGACAATTTTAAAATGAGTCATGGTTCTTAATTTAACATTAAAATGTATTTATTTTGAAATTTGTCTTTAGTTAAGGACATATATCCGAAACCCTAATAACTCCCGGAAAGTAATCCATAGCTAAAATAAAAGTCAATAATTTGGCGAATTATTTAAGACTATAGAGAGTTTTGGGAGTTATTTAGAATTGGGGATATACGTCTTTAACTAAAGACAAATTTCAATATAAATACATTTTAATGTTAAATTATGGTCCATGACTCATTTTAAAATTGTCAGATTTTGTGACCAATAAAATTAAAACCAAACATTTACTGAGTAATTTGAGACCAGAAATAACTTTGTGACGTATTAACAACCCGAGTTATAAATCTTTTAATAAAAACATATTTCTAAAAAGTTAAATTTAATATTGTTCTGAGGTTTGTAGCTGGTCTTTAACTCGTCTGATTTTAATGAACAAGAGCTCAAATGAAAGCCCTTACATTACTGAATATTTTAAGCCTAGAACGAACTACAAGCGTCAATAGTAACTGGAGATATAAGAAAAATAATTTTAAAACAATTATCAAACTACGAAACGTCCATAAGAAATGTATGGCGGAGAGTTTTCGTTTGAATATATCTTCTAAATGAATAAAGATATTTAAAAACGGATTTCGGCATTGAAATCAGTGTAAAAATGTAGTTGGTAATGATGTTTCACAACACTAGCATTACATTGAAAAAAAAAATTATCTATGTCCAATATGGCGGATCCAAGATGGCGACCAAAAACATGTTCCCTATAAAAATGAGGTACTAACCACCCAACAAATACAGGCGGTGGTCCCAAGTCAATATCTCGAAAAATGTGCATAACAAATGTTGAAATATGTTTTTTTAGTTTGTCCAATGTTGGAAAAAGCCGCCATTTTAAATTCTGATTCTAGTGGTTTTCTCGTGCACCGATTTTTGGCAACTTTTAGTATTCCATTCTGCAAACCCAACTCTACTAAATAAAACCATAAAACGTTTTCTTGCAATTTTTTTAAGGTCAAATCCTATATTTCTCCGACTATAATTTAAATCCAATAATATCCATAATAATTGAGTTTCATAACGCAGAAAAGGAAAAAAAGCATATTGATCAACATGATGAAATAGTAGTTTCAATTTACTGAAAAGCATATAAGAGGACTGTTGAAGTATCTTGACATGATGTAGCCAATAATACAAGGTTTGCCAAGTTCGTCTGCTTGTATCTCCTTTTGGAGACATTCTATTGTCTGAGTGCCTCGTGGTTGTCCATTTCTACCCCTCTTCAGTATTTAACCCTCTCTTCTTCGCACAAGTCCTGCTCATCCTGTCTACTTTTAATAGCTATGTCTGGCACCTTGTACAGTTCTCGAAGCTCTTGGGCTTTTCTTATTCTACACATACGATTTTCATTTAGGATTAATAAAACAAAGATTTTTATTTGTTGCAGTGTTGATGTGGACGTGTAGAGGACTTTACACAACATGATCAACGAGCAGGTGGTAGAGGAAGTGCTGCAAGGGCAGCTCGAGGCCTCCAAGTGGGCGATACCTCGCCAGACCAAGATATTCATCTGTTCTACTAAACTAGGTGAGTTTCATCGACTTTTACTGGCCATATATACGAAATGTAGCAAAAAATTTGTGTGCTAACATTAGGAATATTTTTTACTTATACTGTTTACTCACTCGTCATAATCAACCCCATAATAATCGTCATCATTATCATCATCGTTATCCTCATCAGTCCCGATAGGGATAATCGGGACTTATTTGCCGAAATAATTATTACCAACCCAGTGTGAATTATTATTCATAAGATAATACTATTCCGTCTATAGTCACATTATATTTACGTCCATCCCGTCTCAACGTCGCACTAGAGTCAGGTTCCTCAGTTTAAAAACGTGACGTTGGTAAGTTCTTGTTAACGCCACAGCTGACACAAAGCTTAGTTACCATATTAAAGTTCTGTATTTTCTCTTAGTACAATGCCAGTTTCTCTAAAACAGTCTTCATGTTCGTCCTTAACTGGATTGTTTGAGGGGCCTTTGCAAAAAAGATTATCGTCTTTTTATGTTATTGTTAAACAGAACAGGAAGGAAAACGAGGTATTGATTGGCATTCAATATTTCATGCTACGTTATAGATAATTTTGTTATTGCCATATTTTGTTATTCTGCTTTCAATATCGAGTATCAAGTCTCTGAAAATAAACTATGATAAATTATAAAGTGGTTAACTATCTCAGACATCACAAAAGTTTCTTTTTTTGTATGCGGAAACTCTATACTATACGTGTTTTCAACATGGATTGATCATTGGTGTAAGATCGACAACTGTTATCTTCTACGCTTTTGTAAATATCCAAACCCTATTAGACTAATTTGAATAACAATACAAACGATAAAGATAATTTTAATTTTATTGCTTTTAAATCTCGACTGTTAACTGTGAAAAGGGCTTTAATTTGCTATTTTATTTAGATTGTATTGGCCTTTTACCCCTTTCGTTTACGGTACATAAAATATCCTGTTTTATTACTAATTGGAGTAACACAGACTATTATTATACTATAATAAAATAACAGTAAGTGCATTATAAAATAATAACTATTAGTCAGGTGAATATTACGATCCGTCTCGAAATTTATGATTTTAATATGTCGGTTGATTTTGAGAGAATTCAGAGGGTTGGGCCTCGTAACAACGCTTTACATGAAAAAATTCCTAATGATATGAAAGAAAGAAAAACAGAATCATATAAATAATTTCGAATTTCATTACACAGTTAAATTATTTCTAAAAACAAAATTACCCTGTCAAAGCATGGTAATATATCGTTGCCTTTTTATCCTGGAAAATGGTTACCGGTAGCTCAAAATCAATGAAGATCTATGTCTAGATACAAGCGAATTGATTCGTCAGTACATAATTGTATTTCCCTCAGAATAAACTTGTAGCTTCTAATTGAATAATAGTATATAAAACCTTAAACATCTATAGGTTCTACATGACACGATTGAGGCATATGTCTAGGATTGAGCAATATGGATCTATTCTGTGTTAAAAGCATTGTTAATTCCATTTAAAAGACAACCTTTGCCTATTTTTATGTGGTAGATGATTTTAAAGTGGCTTAAACCTTATAAAGACCTAAGTAAACAAAAAATTGAAAACTAATTCAAAACTTAATTAGTATTGTGGCTCAGTATATGAATCTAATAAATCTTGAGCCTGAATCGATTGGTCTTGAAGATTGTCGCAAAAGAGACAGCATCAGTCTGATTTCTGCCGCGAAATGACACTTGTTTTTGTTGATAAAATTGAACAAAATGAAGTAAGTTGCTATTCTACATTTTAAATTAATGTTTTATTAGGTTCATATAAGCCTGCATAAAATTTGTAAGTCTGCTTAAAATCGATCAATCCTGAAAAATGCTGCAAAAGAGAACACTTCAGTTTATTTTCTGTCTCGATATTTTACTTTTTCTCAGTAAGATTGAACGAGAACAAAATGAAGTAAGATAAGAGCATCATTGCCACTTGGGGCAGTTTTAGAACCAAACTTTGCCGACAACCTTATCTAAGTGACAATATCAGTGAGTCTTTGATTTTACAATTTTCTATACTGTACTGTTCTATAATGTGAAAATGTTTAAGTTTTCCTAAAATCTTCGTAAGTTCCTTTAATTGTTATTTGTGGTAGGTATTGTTCATTTTAATTCAAAAGCGTAACCTATAAATACTAACAAATCCGTACCGTTTACGTATTTGTAAATCAATTACGTACATAATCATTTTTAACAAAGATATTCTAATTAAGATGAAAAGACGATTGTTTTATTTTTAGAATCATAATTTTCAATTCTGAAAATTGACCTATGTACCCTTTTTTTTAAGAAAGTTAGCATCGAGCACTTCATACTATAACAGAAAAATGTATCAAAATTGATTTACAAGTCACGTTGTTCCAAGATATACGGCGCCAGTCTGGTCTATTGGTGAAACATATTTCATATCTCAGCCATCTTACAAACGTTCTCGTCAGATTTATATTCAAGGAAGGGGAAGCAAACAATACACTACTTTGTATTTTTGTGTTTACTGAGACACGCTTTACGTTGACTTTCGAGACAGGGATGAAAATGGATGTTTTAGATTTTTGTTTATGGATAAATAATCAACAGCATATTAAAAACATCTACCATAATCATGTTTAATGTATAAAACTTAATAATACTTTTACATTGTTAAAGGTTTAATATTTGGATTTGCTATTACAATTAATTATTATCATGAAAGAAATTTGATTAGATTGTATTATATTACGTGTTTATTAATGTAAAGTTTTTCTGTCAGATAAATAGGCAATTTCATATCATTGCAAGAAAACCTTGGTATTACCTATTGAATAAAAATGATCGTGTGAGTAAAAATAGGTTACAGAAAATTTTAAATCTGCAATTAATTAACTGAAACTTACGAAAGCGGTCATAAATAAATATATATAGTATAGTTTAGACGTTTAGAGGTTATAGCATTGCGACGGAATTGTAGTTTCCACTGTGTGATTTATTGTTGTAAAAAACAAGATTTAGACCAGTTTTGGCTGAATGAAGCTCATCAAACTCTTGAAGGAATATCATTTACACTCCTGCTTCAGATTGTTCAAGAACTTTGGTATCTGGTTTGCAAATCTGAGCTTGAACTTCGTCACTGAGCAATGATGACTGAGAGGGAATGTTAAGTACCTGTTTAATATTACAATTTCATTTGGGTTCAAAGTAATGCGCCATCGTCATCATCATTATCATTGCCATCATCGGTACCACCACCATCATAATTATCATCATCGTCGTCGTCATCGTCGTCATTCCCTTTTTAAGGTCGTACGATTTTCCTCCTCTCGAAAACAGTTGTGTATAACGAAGAATTACTATCTGCACCACATACAACATGGCAAAAAATACGAAGTTGACATAACAAAATTTCTCAGACAAAATTGAATAGTTTTGATTTTCGAAGTTACACAGTAAGATAGTGTGTTCGCAGTCAGTGAGAGCATTGCAGATTGCAGGCTAGAGTGATGAGGTAGATATATCAGCATTGTTAAGGAGTCACTTACTCTACCTCATACCTCATTTCCTTGTCTCGCTACTTTGTTTGTTTTATACGAAAATGTGAAATTCGATACCTCTTTAGCGAAAAATAAAATATATATTCCTTTAATAAAACCTGCTGTCACCAATGGAAGTCATAATCTTCATTACTAAAGCAGGATTGATTTTATAAAACTGTATCCCCCGTTTTATGGCTTCAAACGGTAATTCATTCGTAGGTTGACAACTTCAAACCGGTTTTTTTCTTTGTATTAATCCATTACAATCAAAATGATTAAGTATTAAAAGTATATCTGTAAATATTATGTACAAATTTATATCATTTATAGTAACTGAAGGAAAAATATAACGTCTAACGTGAGTGCAAAGTGCCTTTACTGCACTCGAGAAACTTTCTACACTACCCTGCGGCTCGTGTGTAAACATTTGTCTCATGTGTAGCAAAGTGCACACTAGTTACACAAATAACTATAGAATGTGTTTTACCTTGTATCTAATAATCTACGATTTGTTCGCTCATATTTGGTTGAAATACGCACATAGTGGCCTCCCCTCCCATGATTGATAATAATAGCTTTGACTATTCATTCAACCATACGAATTACGATTTCCGAGAAAGATTCTCTTCTATACAACAATTAATTTTTATTTAATGGTTAAAATAAAAGCGGAAGTTTTAAAACAGTAAAGTCTACCGAGTATAGATGTGAGTGTTTCATTTCATCAATCAAAAACGTTTAACATATGAATGTTATATTTTCGTGAAAAGCTTCTGATGTAATCCGAGCAGTAAATTCTACAGTCACACATGCAGGGGAAATTACCTTTCTGAAAAAAGTCGTATAATTTAATGCGAAAATATGACAGCGACCAGAGTGTAATCCCGTTCATTAATTTCCCTCGAGCCTCCTTCACGTCGTCCCAGAGGCGAACAAAGATAATTTGCATTCATCCCTGGCGAGAGTGCTGAATAGGGAACGGCACGTATAAATGCTGCATACGTGTCTACTGCATACAGTGGAATGTGATATATATCAATCTGGTTACATGGTCTGCCCATATCCAAGGTTAATTAATTGAATTTGTAGTTGACGATTTTAATCTATAATGAACTCATTTGAAACCATTCTAGGCAAGGTTATCTGATAGAAAGCTAATAATTTAATCGGATATTACTAACCTAATCCAATGCGTATAGGTTCAATGGATTTTAGATAATATTCAGGGTTAAACAGTTTAATTTATTTCAACGTTATAATACTTTTAAAACAGTTGGCTAGTTAAAATATGACTAATAGAAATATATAAACTAAAATAACATGACTAAATTTCCCTGATCCGTTGTAGTTAATTTAATTTGCCAGAATGAGAAATAATAACTGTTATAATTTAATAGCTTAAGAAAATTGGTCCTCTATTATTTTTCTCTGAGGCTAAGCAAGGCTGATGAAAAATTCATGAATTACAAT